AAAAAAAAGAAAAAAAAAAAAAAAAAAAAAAGAACTAAAACTCTGTACCCATCAAGCAAGTTTCCATTCCACTCTTCCCCCAGCAGTGACCATTCCGCTTTCTGTCTCTGTGGATTTGATTGCTCATATGAGTGGAATCATGCAGTATTCGTCCTTTTGTGACTGGCTTGTTTTTATTTAGAATAATGTTCTCAAGGTTACCCATGTTGTAGCACGTGTCAGAATTTGCTTCTTTTTTAAGGCTGAAACATATATATTGTGTGTTTTGTTTTTCCGTTTGTCTGTCGATGCACATGTGGGTTGTTCCTACCTTTTGGCAGTTGTGAATGACACTGCTATGAACGTGGTGTGCAAATTACCTGTTCGAGTCCCTGATTTTACTTCTTCTGGCACACATGGCAGATGCACTTTGCACAGCCCTTTCTGAGCCCACAGAGCAGGATGTCATCTGTGTTTTCACCAGGACGTTCTTTGGTGAAGAGACATAGCCTGTGTGGCAAAGAGGACAAAAGGACCTTTGGTGGCTCAGTTGCCTTGGCCACTTCCGCCGTCACCTGCCATGTGCCCTCAGTGCCCCACGTGCGCACTCACCAGCAGAGAGCCAGTGTGAGCCCGAGTGCCTCAGCTGAGGGGACAGTCACAAACCTTGAGCTGTGACCCGGGATATTGTCCTCTGTCCTTCTCACAAATGTGGTGGGCACATGACCTCATCTGCCCAGGGGTCCACTGGCGTAGATGGGCCAGCACCAGGCCAGCAGGCTCTCTGCTGTCTGTTGTTGTGACAGTTTTCATCCGTGGGAGAGGTTCCCTTCTCCTGGTGCATCCGCGCTGGCACGGGCAGGTCCGTGGCCTGGGCCTCTGGATGCGTCACAGTCGTGGAGCTGGGTCAGCTCCAGGGGCTGATCTCTGGCCAGAGGCTGGTGTTGATTCAGATGGGTCCTCTGAGATGAATTTGTGCTTCCTCTAACTCTAAAATACCTAAGTCGTGTGTAAATTTGAGACTCTTCTGCTGTTAGCCAAAGGGTTTTTCTAGGACGCTGAGGTGAGACAGATCCTCCCGGACAAAGATAGTGGAAATGTTGAGCTTTCGTCCTGCCGCTGTCTCAGGCCTGTGAGCTTCCGGTGGGCTGCTGTGTTCAATCAAAAAATCAGTAGTCTGACTGCCCATGTGTCAGGCACTCTTCTGGTGCCAAGTGGGCTGATGGAACCAACCTGAGGCTGGTGACATTCTAAGCCGAGTGTTCTGGAAGACAGAAGAGTCTTCTTTGTTCTCTGCTCTGAGCTTGGCCACACTGGAGCTTGGCAGTTCGTGTCTCATCTGTGTATTCCTCCCTCGTAAACACAGACATATTGAAAGCGAGTGGTGTCATTCCTTCGTTTTATTAGTAGCATTTGTTCGTCTTTGCACAATGTTCATGGGATATCCCTTCTACACCTGGATGCTAGATTCAGACTTTGATGAGACAAGTTTCATGTCAACAGGAGTCATGTTCTGACTTGGGATGAGATTAAGCTTCAAGATGGTGTCCTTTGGCCTCTGTCTGCAGCCCTGTCTCACATGTAGGGAGGCTGGGAGGGTGGCTGGGAGGGTCAGGCTAGTGGAGCCCCCTCTGCCAAAAGAAATGCTTGCAGACAAGTGCTCTGTCAGCCGGTAGGACCTGGGCAGCGGGTGCCCAGACAGGGGAGAGAGGGGTTCAGATGAAAGGCCAGTGAGCCCTAAGTTGGCCTGCAGATCCTGCTTGAAAATCACACTCCGGCTTTATTTTCATCTAGTTCTGAGTCAGGGGAGCCTTTCCTCCTCTGCGTGGCACTTGGAGCTGCCGATGGTCAATGGCTGCTCGCCTGACGCCCATTCTTGTCTGTGTCACACACAGGGCAGGAGGTTCGTCTATGCAGGCTCCAACTCGGGTGTGGTCCAGGCCCCCCTGGCCTTCTGCAGGAAGCACAGCACATGCCAGGACTGTGTGCTGGCGCGGGACCCCTACTGCGCCTGGAGCCCGACCGCGTCGGCCTGCATCGTGCTGCACCAGGCTGAGGGCCCCAGCAGGTACAGGCGGGGTGTGCTGCACGCAAGGGCCCCCAGGCGCGTGCGTGTAAATAACTTCTGCTGGTTGTTTTGCAGGGGCTGGATTCAGGACATGGGTGGTGAAGCATCCGCATGCCCTGGTGAGTGGCCCCTCGTCATTCTGGCTCCTCCAGGAATGGCGAGTCTCCTGCCCATTGCACGGCGCTTCGGTTCTGCAGCATTTGTGTGCATTTTTTTTTTCTTCCTCCAAGCAGAACTGTGGTCTCTCTCTGTCCCTTTTATTATAGAAAATATAGTTATCTGTTTACTGGGAAGCATTCTCTGTCCAAAACTGTCCTCTTTTCTGTTCTGCTTAGCTGGGGACTCATTGAACAAAACCTAAACCTGTCATGAACGGGAAGAAAGGAGCCCGTGAGTGATTAATTAGGGCTCTCATTCCCCTTGGGGATCCCCCTGCCTGTGACCATTGGAAAATAGCGCTTTGACCCGAGGACGGGGTGGAATCAGGCCAGGATGCCTGTCCTCTGCAGCCACCCTCCTGGCATGCTAAAGGCAGACATGCCCTTCGGTTCTCTGGCTCCCTTCCTTGACAAGACAGCTGTTATCAGATTAAGAAAAATTTCGGAGGTGGGTGCCCAGGTGCACTGGAAGGCTAGCCTTCCTTTCAGCCCCTTGCAGAACTGTTTCGTGTCTGACTCAAAGTGCCGCTGCCAAACGCAGAAGCGGCCTCTGCTCGGCCTCCCCCAACCAACCTGATGTGTTTATTCCTGGGAACATGGGGATGAGAAACGGGATTTCTGCTGCTCAGAGCTGCCTCTGATTTCTTTGTTCCATGGGCTGCCATCCGGGGCTCATCTTTGCTTTTCGGTCACGCATGTCTTTATCTCCTTAGTTGTCCTGGAAGATTCCATGTTGATCCGGTGGGTGAAACTCTCACATCATCTTGTGGGTATTAACCTATTTTTAAAAGAAGTTAAGTAGTGAACAGGGTTGTTGATGCTGTGCACATTTATTTTGATGTTCCAGATAAAGTTAAAGAAAGTTACGGGCCGCATTTTTTCAAGCATGGAGGCACAGCAGAACTCAAATGCTCCCAGAAGTCCAACCTGGCCCGGGTGGTGTGGAAGTTCCAGAACAGCGTGTTGAAGGCCGAGAGCCCCAAGTACGGTCTCATGGGCAGGAAAAACTTGCTCATCTTCAACTTGTCGGAAGGGGACAGCGGGGTGTACCAGTGCCTGTCAGAGGAGAGGGTCAGGAACAAGACAGTCTCCCAAGTGGTTGCCAAGCACGTGCTGGAGGTGAAGGTGGGGCCACAGACCCCGGCCGCACCTGCCTCGCCGGCCACGCAGACAGAAGGTCATGGGCGCGCCCCCAAGGTGTCAGCGGCCTCTACCCAAGGGTCTTCTGCCCCAACCCCAGCTGTGCGAGCCACCTCCCCCGGGGCTGTCACCCCACCTGCCAAGCTTGTGCCCACCAACTTGTCCTGTGAACCAAAGATCGTCATCAACACAGACCCCCAGCTCCATGCGGAAAAAACAATGTATCTCAAGTCCAGTGACAACCGCCTCCTCATGTCCCTCTTCCTGTTCTTCTTTCTTCTCTTCCTTGGCCTCTTTTTCTACAACTGCTACAAGGGCTTCCTGCCTGGACAGTGCTTAAAATTCCGCTCAGCCCTGCTGCTCGGGAAGAAGCCCAAGTCGGACTTCTCTGACCGTGAACAGAGCCTGAAAGAGACGTTGGTGGAGCCGGCGAGCTTCTCCCAGCAGAATGGGGAGCAGCCCAGGCCGGCCCTGGACACCGGCTACGAGACAGAGCAGGACACCATTGCCAGCAAAGTCCCCACGGACAGGGAGGACTCACAGAGGATCGACGACCTGTCCGCCCGGGACAAGCCATTTGACGTCAAGTGCGAGCTGAAGTTCGCAGACTCGGATGCAGACGGGGACTGAGGCCGGCTGCGTGTCCTGCCCGCGCTGGCTGTGACGGTGTCCACGCGTGGAGGGCTTCGTGTTTCACCTGTGCAGTAGCCGCGTGTCGTCCAGCACCCGTAGGGTAGCCCGCATTGTAGCGAACCTTCGTCCTCTGTTTTCTATTGGGTTGAGCCTGTGTCTTGGTGTCTCTTTGTCCATTTGGAAAACGACAAGCATCGGATCCCAGTCTCGTGTCCTCCCGCAGTTGGTCGGAGCGCTTTAAGAAGTCCCTGCAGGCGGTGCCGATATATCTGAGCCCTGGTGGTGGGGACAGGCAGCTTGACCTCGTCGGCTGAGAAGAGTGTACCTCCAGCCTCCCTCCCCATAGCAGCCACTGAGAGATAATTTACTTCCAGATTGGAAATGACGTTTTAGTTTATCAGATTGGTAACTTATCGCCTGTTGTCCAGATTGGCACGAACCTTTTCTTCCACTTAATTATTTTTTAGGATTTTGCTTTGATGTCTTAGGTCATTTTTTAAAAATTATTACTGAAGCAGATGTTTTAATATTTAGAAGAAGATGTATATCTTCAAGATTTTGATATATATTTGGATTAAAATGGCTTATGTTGCTTAAGATTCTCAGGGATAAACTTACTTTTGCTAAATGCTTTCTGCTTTTAGAAATGCAGACATAAACCATCTTGTGAGCACACTAGCCCTTTTTTTTGGTTTTAACTTTATTCCTTAAGGGAAGCATTACTTTCAGAGAGATTTTCCTTCTGTACTTTTTTCCTTTTTTCCTTTTTTTTTTTTTAAACTCTCTTGAAGAGGAGGACTGTCTCCATCTGCGTGGAGGGTTTAGAGTGAGGGAGGTGGCCCTGGGGGAGGCTGGGCTGGCCCAGTGCTGAGAGGAGGCACCGTTTCCAACCCAAAGCCCACGGTCTCTGGTTGAAACCTCCTGCTGGACAGACGGCGTCGCACAAGGATATCTTTGGTTCTCTGAACATCTCCTTTCTCTTTTTGCTTCGGCCTCAGACCCATTGCCTGCCAGACGTTCTGCACAGCCTGATGGAGCTCGCCACCCCTGGAAGAGGACTGGGCAGTGGTGCACGGGCCACGGGTTGTGACCACAGCACATGTGCGCACACAGCCTCTGCCCTCACCTGCCAGTGTGTACAGATGTCAGTGGGTGGTACGACTTTAACGTTCGCTTATTTTACATTCCATCTGCCCCACTTTGTAAATACCCGTTAAGAGGAGACTTTTTCCATGGCAAAGAGCAATAAACTGTGGATTTTTGTGTGCCTGTGTAAATACTCTCATCTCCCAGCATGATATGATTTGATCATTTGGGTGTAAACATTTGTTTATAAGATTTACTTTGTTTTTATTTTTCTACTTTGAATTGTATGCATTTGGAAAGTACCCGAATAAATGAGAAGCCTCAGCGGAGGCCCTGCGACCTCTCTCCTGCGCGGTGTAGCAGGCGGCTGCGTGTCCCGCCCGCGTGGCCTGGGCTGGCAGCCCGGATGCTCTTTCCTTTCTCGTCCCCACTGTCTGTTTCCTGCTGCGTTTCGCCTTCTCCGGCATGTGGTGTGTTCCCGGTGACTTCTCCCTCAGTGCCCTTTCTTTTCTGTCCTCTGTCTCGCAGCCTCATCTCCTAAGCCCTTCCCTCCTCCTGGCTCCTCCTCTCTGTCCTGTCTGGGCCCCTGGCCGGCCTCGGGCTCAGGGCCCAACCGCAGCACACAGGTCACCTTGCTGCCGCCCTTCCTGAGTGACCAGGCACAGCAGGTGCATGAGCTGGGGACCTTCCACCTCTTCTGCCAGGCCACAGGTGAGTACAGGCCCCATTTGTGTTTCTTCCTCATCTCCTGCAGAGACGGGTGGGGCCTCCTCCACATCCACACATCTCTGCCCGTACCATCTGCAGCCTTCCTGGCTGCTCCCTTGGGTCGAGCCATCTTATGCTTTTGTTATGGGTTGATCCCGAATGAGACTAAACAGACTGGAGCTATTCCTAGTATACAGCAGGGGTCAACCAGCTTTTTCTGTAAAGTGTCAGGTGTTAGCTATTTTAGGCTTTTAGGGCACGGTAGTTTGTCACAACTACTCAGCTCTGCTGTTGGACTGTAAAAGTGGGTGTAGACGATTTGTAACAAGTGGGCAGGGCCATGTGCCACTAAAATTTTATTTGCAAAAACCAACAGTGGACCAGATTTGGCCCAAAGGCCACGGTTTTGCAACCCATGGTATATCAGATTGCTTCTATTTCTGCTAACAATCTGGAGGTTGATATATGTGGCATTTGGAAATTTAAAAAAGAAAAAGTTAACTTCAGAGCTTTCAGAATGGGAGTCACTTAATAACTTGTTGCATGTCATGGTGTTTAAAAGCAGAAAAGATTAACTGATGTGCTAATGTACTCCCCTCAGACATGGGAGGCGTTTGCCCTGTATTGAAGAATATTCAGGTGAGACAGCTACTCTTAGAGAAAGATGGCAGGACGGCCAGCACCACGCTTCACATGTGTCCTGGGCTTTGGGCGGCGCCCAGTGGCCCTGGTCTCCAGTGTGTGGTCTCTGACTGATAGTAGATGCGAGAAGGAAAGCAGTGGTGCGTCAGAGCCGGGTGGGCTTCCGCCTCTGCTCGGGGGGAGGAGTGGAGTTAATGGGAAGGAAAGCAAATTCAATTTATCTCTTTTTTAAAAAATGTTTAACAAACTGTCAGAAGCTACCAAGAGTTTTAAGGTGCTACCCGTTTCCTGCTTGATAAGCCCCAATGGGTGGCCTGTTGGCGGCTGCAGACAGTAGACAGGAGAAGCCGCCTGTGGATGTGGAGCGTTGTAGAGACAGACCCTGGATGGGCTGGCTCCTGCGGCCCCAGCGGCCCCAGCTCTTCTGCTTGGAGCTGTGGACCAAGCTTGTGCTGGGCCGCTTGTGGCCACTAATGCACCTGAGTGTTGCTCTTTGGCCAGGAAATTTATCTTGGGGCAGGCAGGCCAGAAAACTCCCTCATGTGTCCATGGGGCCTGCAGCCTGTGGCAGCAGGGGGTCCTTTACAGACACACTCAGGGACTGCCTCGTCGGCAAGGAGGCTGGAAAAGCTCAGTGTTCGGTTCATGTGGCCTGACAGAAGGCCCCGCTCCTCTGCTGGCAGATGCGGGCAGGAAATGTGGTTACGAGCCATCATGTCTTTAAGTGCTTGGTTCTCCGGTGTGCAGTGCCTGTTAGCTCGGTGTTCACGTACACACGCCCCTGGGGCTGGGAGAGAGCGAGAGACTGAGGAAAACGGACTTCGCTGTCCTATCAGCAGAAGCCACTCCCAGTATTTCAAATGGGATTTAACACGGGATTGGTTACAAAGGTGATGGAAGAGCTGGGAGTAAAATGGGAAGTAAAGATGCCCAAAATGTCATAAGCGTGGCAGCCACTGCCGGCCACACTGCCGTCACCACTGCTGCGGGTTCAACGAGGAGCTGGAAAAGTGTTTCTTCCTCTCGGCTGCCCATCCGTCTGCTGCCAGGGCCTTCTGTGGCGGGACGTAGAAGAAGGCTAGTGGCCAAGGATCTGGGAAATGTAGCTGTGGCCCTGCAGCCCCAGGGCCAGGAGAAGCGAAAGGGTGGCTGGGAGCTGACAGATGAGGGAGCCCAGCGCTGTCTCGGTGCTCGGGGTGTGGTGTGAAAATGGGAAACAGGCCTCAGCCTTCCCTCTGCCTTTTTACCTGGTTGTCATTTTCTCTCCGGAAACATTTGGCCCCACCTGGGGTCTTTCTTTCCTGTTCCCTTGATTCATTGAGGCCACAACCTGCCGGGGCTGTGAGGTGTCCCTGGGAGGGAACAGCTTAGAGGAAGGGGTGGCTGAGGTCCTCTCCAGGGAGCGTGGATGCCAGGGCAGGCTTGACATGCGGTGAACCCAGAGGCTCCAGAGTTGGGTCGGGGTCTGCAGACTGAACGCTTCCTGGAGGAGAGGGCATGGTGTGGCAGAGAAGTCTCAGAGATGCTTTGGGAAGAGAGGGGTGCTGCGTTCTGTCCCTCGGGGGCACCTTCCCCCGAGGAAGGAGAGGACGAGCTGTCCAGGGGAGGCCCTGCGTCAGAAGGCTGCGGTGTTACGCGCTCGAGGCCCGGGGCTCGCGGCTTCTCTCTCGGTGCTGCCCCGCGCCCCCGGGGCAAGGCTGGATTGGAACCTTGACCTGGGTTTTTCTCTTTCCTAAAGTGGCTGTTTTCGTGCTGGTTGTCCTAAGTGGTTTTGGGGCTGTCTGATTAAAGGTTTAGCAAACTGTATTTAGAATACGAGACTTAAAGAGAGGGCATTTGTAGAATCTTTAGTTCTCTGTGCCACTTTCTGACGCCGGTAGCTTTGCTGGGTGACCTTTTATTTCAGGGAGCATCTCAGCGTCTGGAGAAGACTGACGGTTAGACCCCTGCTCAGGGACTGGGCCCGCCCTAATCCCACCTGGGGTCCACGTATCACCCAGGAGATGTCCCCACCTGCTCCAGTGTGCTCTCAGCTGTGGTCATACAGTGTCCCTGTGGACTCAGCCATCCAGGAGAGGAAGCGGCCCCCTGAAGTCCTGGCCCTCGGATCAGACTCGGTCCACAAGGGAGAAATGTCCACTTAGCATGTACAGAGGGAGAGAGTGCCAGGGGACAGACATCGGTGACAGAGGCCTGGCCTGTGGTGTGGTGAGGGCGAGATGTGGCCTTCTGGGCAGGGCAGGTGGACATCTCCCATGGTGGGACAGAGAGGTGAGCACAGGCGGGGGGAAGCTGCTGTGACGTCTGGCACGCGGAGAGGCTGGTGTTCCTTGGGAGACATTGGGGAGAGTGTGAGGCCTGGCATCTGAATGGATGGCCACCCTTGTCCCATGCCCAGAAGCACAAGCACTCACCTGGCTGCCCATCCAAGAGAGGGACAGGGCCTGTGTGCCTGTGTCAGGAGCCAGGGAGGGATGCACCAGCTGCCTGTCTGCCCCTCGACACACTGTCCCTGCCCCGCCACAGCACTCATGTCTGGGAAGTGGTATTGTCACAGCGGGTCTCTCCTAGGTTGGTGGAGCATTAGATGGAAAATCCACTGATGCCCTTGGCACAGGGCAGCCATTGTCCCTGTGGCGGGATTGGGCAATTTTGGGAAAGGAAGTTTCAGCACCCCTCACAGTGGGATCATCCCTTCTGCAGCACCTGGGCAAGAGGGCACAGGGCGGCTGCAATGGGGAGGCTGGCTGTGGTTCTGGAGCCCGGATGGCCCCCTGAGCTTAGTGACAGGAGGGCTGGGCAGGGTCAGGCACCGCTCCTCCAGGGCTCTGTGGCCTGGGCACTGCACATGGGAGCCCCTTGGAGACCCAGCATGCTGGGGAGACCAGAGCAGCTCCAAGTGGCCACCTGCCCCTGTGTGCACCCTGCCTAGAGCGGGAGGCACAGCGCCATTAGAGTACCCACAGCTGGTGACCAGTGGCACTGCACTGGATTGGGGTCTGTGATTGCTTTCTTTTATGTCATTGGCAAGTAAACTTGTGTTTGTTGTATTTCACTATAGTATCAGCTATGATGGGCAGGAAGGAACACACAACACACATCACACACCACACATGCGCACTCACATATGCATCCCACAGATGCTTCACACACACACATCACACATACCCGTGCATCACACGCATGCCACACACATCACACACGTGCACACACACACACACACACACACACACAGACATGCGGGCCTTTGCTGTTAGCGCTGACGGGGAGGATGCTGGGCACATTGCTGTCTCCCCTCAGCCCAGAGCCCAGCTGGGGCTGCCCAGGCCTCCTGCTGGCCAGCATGCTGCACCGGCACCTGGCTAAGTGAGAAAAGCATGCTGGAGAAGGTGGGGGACAGGAAGGAAGGGCCACCCCAGCCCTCCGTGCCTCCCCATCAGCTCCCCGCCTCCCACAAGCCCATCCCAGGCCTCCTCTGGCCTCTTTCCTCATCCCCTCCCCATGCTGGCACGCTCCCTCTCAGTCACCTCTCACCACGCAAAATCCTGTGAGATGGCCTGCGGGGACCCCACCGATGGGCCTGTGAGGACCTACCCCTCCACTGGGCAGGTTGTCATGTCTGCACCAGGAAACCAGCTCTTCTGAAGGACAATCCCCTTAAGGGGAAAAGTGAACAAATTTTTTCCTCCCTCTGAGGCCCTGAACCCCTAACAGGGGTTCTGGGTCTGGCCCCACAAAGGCGCATCCTGCCACAGCACTCCGGTGATGGGGCGCCCCGTGGAAAGGGCTAAACTCAGGCACCTGTTGCCTTTTTCCGCTTACAGTCAGCCCGTGAGCAAACACTGGTGCGTCACACAGGGGCCTCTCAGTGTTGTGATCAACACGTGTGGCTGCAGAGGTGCTGGGACTAAAAACCAAATTTATTTTCAAAATGTGGCCCTGCAGAAGGGCTGGCTTTCTGCCTCTCTGGCAGGAGGCGT